TGACATTAAGAAGTGATTTAAACAATAAACTACTTGTTAACTGGCTCTTCTGCTAAACTTTAGTTATACTCAACATATATTATCATCTCTAGTTATAGTTGATAACTTCTTATCTAAATTTGAAACTATATCACCCGTTAGTTAGTTTGATTTATTTCAAACCTGCAGGACAAAATTTCACATATCTTTACACTATACAGGTGAAGAAGATGACACGATACAGGTTTGAAAAGAGGTTGGATGAGGCAGATTTTATCCCAATCCCTCAAACCCGTCAATTATCAGCAGCTCATTGAGGAGATGTGTAAAGAAATATTATACAGGAAAGAAGTTGTCTCAAGCTTTCAATGAGTAACAAATAACTTCTTTCTCAAGTAGCTCACCCATGCTGGATAAAAGCATTTTTCTTGCCGTCCCTGTTTGGACCAGCGTGTATAGTGGTGTAGTAGTGTGTTTGCACCCTGCCTCGATATCATGGCTAATATTATTCTCGGTTGTGCTCTGACAGCCGCTCTGGATGTGTACTGTATGTGATATGTTCAATATCACAAGAGTAGCACTCTTTTGAATGCATTTGATCTTACTCATGGTAGCAATGAGTCATTCAAACTGCCTGTTTTCCCATATAGGTGAAGAGAGCAGCTGCTTCCACATTGAACCGGAAACAGAATGCGGAGTACATATGTGCAACATTCCACAACTGTCCCATTGTGTTTCAGAACTTCTTGTATTAAAGTTCCATCCATCCATCCATTTTCTTCCCCTTAATCCATTTCTGGGTCGGGTGGGTGGCAGTCAGAGCTGCACCCAGTACACATAGCACCAGCCCTGTATTAAAGTTGTTTCTGAGTGATTCTTGTTTCCATGGATCTGCTGTTTTGTGTGAAATACACACAAAACAATCATAGGCTGTGTCCAAAACGCTAGGCATCGGGCCGCGTAGGGTGGATATGTAGGCATCGAGGGTAGGCCGCGTAGCCACAGGCGAGGTAGGAGGCGAGACGTGATGTGGATTTGGACAGCAGCTGCCTTCTGCCTTCGTCACGTGACTACACAACTCAGAGCGAAGCGGAAGGACACGGCGGCCATGATGGACGGTAAAAAGTTCTAAATACGCTTTAATTAGGACATAAAAGTTAATTCTAATATCATTTGAGGCGAGAAATATCCCCCTCTATTGTCATATCAGGGGTCTGTTTGGAGATAAATTCGAAATTTTTCGGACTTTACCTCCAGCCTGAAGCTCCGGTGCTATAAGCTAACAGCCCAGTTAGCTGCAGTGCTGAAGCCCAGAACAGGCTGTCTAAACACGGGTTCACGTAATGAGAGCCCCCTGGATGTTTACAATCGTATTCTGAAAAAACAGAGGATGCTTTTGTTGTTACACTTTCTCTGTTATAACAATTGTATTGGCAGTAATCATTAGTTTTTACAAAGTTATATTTTATGTAAACAATGCACATATATGCAATAAATGATTATTAGATATGGATTATATATTTGCTATGGCCCTTGTTTGTGCATCACTTAAAAGTAATTTTATCAGACCTAAATGTATTAACGTGTGTTTGCTGATGAGAGAGAAACATCAATTTATCTATAATAATAACTGACACATCCATTTATCTATAATAATAACTGGAACATCAATTTATCTATAATAATAATAACTGGAACATCCATCCAACATTATTAGATCTATAATAATAACTGACACATCCATGGATCTATAATAATAACGGACACATCCATGGATCTATAATAATAACTGACACATTCATGGATCTATAATAATAACTGACACATCCATGGATCTATAATAATAACGGACACATCCATGGATCTATAATAATAACTGACACATCCATGGATCTATAATAATAACTGACACATCCATGGATCTATAATAATAACGGACACATCCATGGATCTATAATAATAACTGACACATCCATGGATCTATAATAATAACTGACACATCCAACAAGTTTGATTTGTTTTCTTTATTTCCAGGTTCTCTGAAGTGCTGTCGATGAGACCTGTGTCAGAGGCAGACGCCCAGGACTCTGCTGCTGCTGCTCCTGCTGCTGTTGCTCCTGCTGCTGTTGCTCCTTCTGCTGCTGCTGCTGTTGCTCCTGCTGCTGTTGCTCCTGCTGCTGTTGCTCCTTCTGCTGCTGCTCCTGCTCCTGCTCCTGCTGCTCCTGCTGCTGTTGCTCCTGCTGCTGTTGCTCCTTCTGCTGCTGCTGCTGTTGCTCCTGCTGCTGTTGCTCCTGCTGCTGTTGCTCCTGCTGCTGCTCCTGCTGCTGTTGCTCCTGCTGCTGTTGCTCCTGCTGCTGTTGCTCCTTCTGCTGCTGTTGCTCCTGCTGCTGCTCCTGCTCCTGCTGCTGTTGCTCCCTCTGCTGCTGCTGTTACTCCTCCTGTTGCTCCTTCTGCTGCTGCTGTTACTCCTGTTGCTCCTTCTGCTGCTGTTGCTCCTCCTGTTGCTCCTTCTGCTGCTGCTCCTTCTGCTACATGTCTTCAGAGATGCAGAGCCCACTGTTCTAACTATTCATGACTGCTGATTAAAGGAAAATATTATATACAAGTTTGTTGTAGTTCATAATGTTTTCAGCAGTGAAGCAGGAGGTGATGGAGGTGATGGAGGTGAAGCAGGAGGTGATGGAGGTGAAGCAGGAGGTGATGGAGGTGAAGCAGGACGTGAAGCTGGAGAAATTATGACCTTAATTTCACCACAAGTCTCTGAAAAAGAAGAACACAAACATCATGCATTAAAACACAGCCCACATTTAGGATTCTTTTTACACTTCATATTCAACTAATACTATTTATTTGGGGCTTTGCAAAAAACTGGTTAAAAATAAAATACAGAAATCCTTACAGTATTTAATATTAGAGGTACAAGCTTCACAGCAGGGGAAACAGAAGAATGATATGATAGAAATATACACAAATAATCAAGTTAGAAGCATGGCTAACCACTTTAAACCTGTGTTTGTGGAAGTGGGACTTTGTCCTCTGCAAATGTCTTATTAATGACAAACAAAACCTCTGTATAATGTGTGTTTACTATTTATTAGACTATTGTATGAAAAGGGCTTTATAATTATTCTTGGCCTATTCTATAATTTCATATGTCTAATATATACAGTTTTCCCAGTCTCAGTATGGGATTAAAAACGATATGCACAATCTATTTTATATGAATACAGAAAACATGTGTTAGCATACTATAGCTGCTGTGCTGCAGAGTGATTTTCCATGAAAACGTGACTTTCCTCAGTGTAGCTTTAATATTTAATCAGTGGGTTTGTTTCTCCCTAAAAGATAAAACACAACATGATTTTTCTTGTTCAAAAACCGAATCTGAATGAACTAGCCTCGTAGCATTAGCTTTTCGGGACTGAGCTTATTCACAGCAGATAACAAGGTTAAATACACACATCTGTGGCAGATCTAATTTATGTCTGTGTTTTATCATAACAGTCGTGTTCATAACTCAACAGTAAAGTATAGCAGTACTTACTATAGACATAACTTCACAGTAAAGTATAGCAGTGCTTACCATAATGTTAGCTCCAGCAGCTCCGAGCTGAGTCTGTTGTTTACATGTTAATGCCAAACGGAGTTCTGCGCATGCGCGGCCGTGACTTGGCAAAAAGAAGGCAGCGAAGCATACATCAGATGCATCCTTCATATCTGCTCCAAAAGTGGCCGTTTCCATAGAGACGAAGTCATGATGCCTACGCTTGGCGAGCTCGCCAAGTGGTTTTGGACACCCCTGCAATAGCCGTCGCTTGAGGAAGTGACGTCACGATGCCTACATATCCACCCTACGCGGCCCGATGCCTACCGTTTTGGACACAGCCATGGCGACACCAAGTGAAATACTCTGTTTGGGCCCTTTATGCATTTGTTGCGGTAAAGATTATTTTTAAACTAGATCAAACAAGAGTATAATTTATTCGTGTCTCTGTTTTGATGCTTACAATCAGACTAAATCATTCCTGTCTCCTCCTGGTCACTTTTATCAAGAGTAAGTCAGTTGAACGGCATCATAAAAAGTCCGTCTTAAAGGAATAGGCCACCGTTTTTACATACTGACATATGTTCTTACCTTACCTTAGACTAGTTGATATGTACCTGTCTGGTCTTTGTCCGTGCGCTGTGCTCATGGTGCTTCTATTGACGGAAGTGAGCGGGAGAGAAGTCTTGGGAGTTAGTGCGCGGACGAAGCGCTCCTCGTATTATTACGCCTCACAATATAGTACCCCTTTTTATCCGCTGAGAAAATCGACATTACATTTCTGTGTTACTATACTTTGTAGTGTAACACGTCACGTAACTGTATTTAAATAGGGAACACGTGGACGAGTTTGGTAGCTTCTAAAGGGGGGCTGATTTGGTACTATACAGTCTGTGGATGAGGCTGCGTTTGACAGAGCGCATGGACAAAGACCAGACAGGTACATATCAACTAGTCTAAAGCCTAGCGTACATCGACAGAGAAACTGGGGACAACTAGTTGCAAGGCGGCTTTTGGCAACTGAGAGGAGATGGTGGGAGATGATCAGTTGCCGAAATCGGTCGATGTGCGCGCTCTTACAACTGGAGATGATCAGTCGGTCTCCAGTTTCAGTCAGTTGCCCGTGTTCTACTTTTCGGCAACTAGTTGTCCTCAGTTTCGGAGATATGACCCGATGTGCGCGCTCCATGCGCCGCTCCAACAACGTGTGTGTATTGCGTGTATTGCGAGCCCGCAACAGTTTATGTCAGAAAACACACTGTAGGTGAGGCCAGTTGCTGTCGATGTACGCGCTGTTATTCCCGAGACTGGTCTGCTACTGGGAGTTGCCCGTTTTCGTCAGATTGTCGATGTGTGCGGGGCAGCAACTCGTATGCGACGGATATAATCAGTTGCCAGTCCGATGTACGCTAAGCTTAAGGTAAGGTAAGAACATATGTCAGTATGTAAAAACGGTGGCCTATTCCTTTAAACTATTTTAGTGGATTGAAGAGTGGTATGGATGGACAGAACATGAACTTACCCCCTGAGACGTTTGCAGTCAGCAGAAAAAAAAATACAAAAAACACATGTTAGTATGTGGCATAAATTATAATTGCATTACAGAAATATGTTTTAATTATACTCACGGAGGTAAAGTCCTGGATTTTCACGCAGACGAAGAAAGAGAAAATTGTGATTAGCTTTTCACATTTGTGGCTAAAGACAATCTTGTGGCAAACAACATTAAAGCCATTCGTACAAGTTTAAAGTCATTTTTACATGTTCCTGTTTCTCCCTTTTGTCGTCTGCAGGTGCTGCAATGTAGATTTTCTTTTTGTATGTAATTATCTGTCTATCAACTATCTACTATCTGTGTGTTGTGTGTGGATGAGGTACCTTCTTGTTGGCAAGTGAAGGGTCTTGTCTGAGCAGGTGGGACAGGTCCGGGACCCTGGCTCCAGCTGCAGAGTAGATCCACTCCTTCTCCACAGGGTCCAGCTGAAGCACAGATACAAGGCACAAGACACGGTCAATGGGTTTTTAAATGCACAGAGGGAGAGGAAAAGCCAATAATGATTGGTAAACTGCATGTAAGCCTCCTGTATAGGACAGCTGAGTTGAACTATGGTGAAGAGTACACCTCCTGCTTGTCTCCACAGAGATGTAATTAGATATGTGACTAAACAAAGTTACATGTTGTTAGGATTAGATAGCGATTTGGCCTACATGCAGGACAAGCACAAGGACTCTGATGGACCCCATGTTTTGACTATGATATACTCGTGACTGTCTCTGTGTGACACGTATGTCTTTCGATGTGTGACTTGACAATGACTATATAAACTGTGTACTGCCTTTATTCTGTCTGGGAGAAAGAAACAATTGAAACCACTGGAACTTGAGAGAAACTTAAATAAACTTCCAGAGTTTGGCGCACCACAATCCGTCTCTGTCTGGTTCATTCTTGACAATGTTTCTTCTCAAACGTAGAGACACTTACTGCCACAGCTGCTGAGCCCATGCTGCCGGTCGACTCCTCGTCCTGCTCCGACTCCGACTGGAAAAGAAACACCTCCTATGAGGATTAGATAGCTATATGACCTACCAGGTGGACAAACGCAAGACTCTACAAGGTTTCCTGACACTCCATATTATTCTCTATAGACGAGCAGGATGAGTGTGAGAGTGAATCAGACACATCAGGTCTGTCTATTCATTCACACACACACACACACACACACACACTCACACACGCACATATTTCACAGTCACTGTCACACCGCTGTGTTGTTTTCCAGCAACAAGATGCGACCAGAGGGTGTGACAGACTCTTCACACACGTTGATGAATCATGATCCAATTGACTCCCAAGAGGACAACACACTTGCACTAGTCTACATGGGCTAAAGAAATATTCAAATATTATGAGAGGTTCAGCTTTGATATATAACATATTATGAGGCTGAATCAATAGAAAGGGGCCAATATGCGATCTCAATAAATGTTTGTGGATTGAAGTTGATATTTTTTACTAGTATTGGTGCATCACTCATTACAATTTATTTTTTTTTATTTGGTTTTTGGTCATTTCAACATAATTTAGATTTGATCATTGTTGATTCCTATGACCTACAAACAAATGAATTGAAAATATTCTAAATTCAACGAACTATAGATTTTCTAGTTGAGGGTCCTTAATGTGCTTGTTAGGCCTGTAGTTGACTGTACACGCATAAGAGATACTGCATAAAAAAACAATATACAAAAACATTACTTTAGCAAAGAAAGTAAGTGAGTAAGACCTATTTATTTATATAACGCATTTTACAGACCAAAGCGACACAAAGCGCTAAAAAATTGTGTGTATGTTCCATTCAGACCACACACAGCAATGATGGAAGCATGACTCACCATCATCATCCGTTCACACATTCACACATAACCAACTAGATATTCTCAGGAAACTCACTCTAAAATTATCCTTTCAAAAACGGCCACAATTGAACTAATCAAGGATAGATTAGTTCATATAAAAACGCTACGTACTGTACCTTTAATTCAGAGACTCAGACATAACTTGGCTTTTCCAGCTGTTAGATGAAATGCCACTTTGTCTAATTTACATGAAAGACCACACTGTTCTTTCTTTCCTTCTCGTCCCTCATTTGCAAATTGTTCACAGATTAAACGCAAACACTATGTTAAAACATGAAAAGCCTTTCAAGTCCACTTCACAAACTGTCACACGTCACAGAGAAGAACACGAAAAGTGGAGTGGAGTATTTATCCAGCCGATTCCAGTCTGACACAAGCACATTTACTCAGAGCTTAATTATAACATTGCTGGGAAGTCTTCAGCTTATGGAACAAGTGTATCACCTCTTTCAAATTGCTATTAAGGGACTTTGTATTGGGTTCTGCGGTCTCGAACGAAGCAATGTGAATATATGTATTGTATTTACTATTTATTGGTAAAACTCACATACATACCAAATACTCAACAACCTATTCACATTTTTGTGATTCTTTTTATTTTTGTGATTTGTTTTAGTTACATTTTTGAATTCAAGCAAAAAACACAGATTGCAATTCAAAAACATAGACATTTCAGTCACTTATTTAACACTAAAACATAAAAAGTGTTCTAAGTCATTTAAGCCACACAGGCATCCGACAATCAACAAAAAATGTTCCAAGCTGGTTTCCTGGATCTGTTAATTGTTTCGTTTATTCAACCCAAAGTCAGAGCTGTTTATAGCTGTTTGAAATGCAGGAGTCAGATCATTTGCATTAGACAACAACAAATCTTCATAAATGTGTCAATGTGTCTGTTTGAAGACGTAATACACAAAGGTGCTGTTAGGAAAGGTGTCAATAATTGTCACAATCCACATCATTACAAAAACACAGCTGTCTTTGGTTGAGATGATACAAATGGCAGATATAAATACATTTGTCCGCTAATTTTTTTGCGTAACTAAACAAGAACAAATTTTGCAAAGGACGTAATGATCATTGACACTTGATATTGTGTATGTACTATACTGTATTCTCTTTGCATATGTAACATAATGTATTTTTTATGTAACTATTTATTTAGAAAATTGCCATGTGAGCGATCCTACAGTGTTTCCTACATTTCCCTTAAGGATCAATGGCGTTTACAAAAAGGACAGAAATATAAAGAGCCACTTGCAACAATACCTTACTGCTTGTTTTATTATTGATATAAATCATTAAATAAAATACACAGATTTTGCCGAACATAGCAGGTAAGTTTTGTCCAAAATGTTTTCAGCAGTATGTGTATTTGATCCATGGTTGTAGTTTTTAAAAGTGGTTTGAAATGCAGATTCTTGCAGTAGACAACAGCAAATGTGTTTAATGTGTGGCTGAGTCTGTTTGAAGTTAGAAGACGTAATACACAAAGCTGAAGTGTGCTGTTAACACCTCATCAGCAAGAGTCCTTCTTCTGTGTGGTTTCCTCTAAAGGATGGGACATAATGTATTAAATATTACATGGCACTCTTTTCTGCTAGTCTAGACTCTATATTATCGGTACAACATAATATGTCTACAATTTGACTTCTCATGATTTAAAACATTGTAATGAAAAAGACATGTCTGCACACTAGTTCAAACTCACTGTGGATTTGTGCTCTGACCCTCAATAAAAATTTCACCATAAATGGGGTCACATTCTCTTAATAGCACCAGATCAACTAAGCAAACAGGTTTTTTTTATCAAGTAATTAAAGAAAATGTGTACTGATGGAGGTGAAGGGGGACAATGAATAATTGAATGCAATAGAATAAGGATTACACAAACATGCATGTATCACAACTTCAGAGCTTAATTAGAGTAAAGTTTAAGACAATTATAGTATTATGATAAATTCTGGAATGTTCCAACTTTCATTTAAATGTATTGTTTTGTTTACACCTTTAAAGGCCCTGTACACTATTTCATATTGGTTTATTTGCAGCCGTCCAAGCTTCTCCGACATAACAAGAGCTCGCCACGTCTACTACTCTAAAGTTTTTTTACAACAAAACGCTCCATGAAGACAAAATGGAGATATATCTATTTATAAGATCAAAAAACATTTAGTCAATTACAAAAATGGGTTTTAAGTAACATTTCAGTACCAGGATGTAAACATGCTCATCCATCACAGCCACAGAAGATTGTGTCGTTATTGTTCTAGTGAAACCCTCTTTTTGCATTTGCAGCTTCATCTCTGTCCCTCTGCATTGTAGGTTTTGGGTAAAGTACTTCAATCGCTCCAGACACTACAGTATACAGAAGAAAAATAGCTTTCTGTGTTGACTGATCTCTTTACCCGTCCCACATGTTTGTCCATTTTCCAACACAATTTTCAAAACAGCGGTGAAGTGTTTGTGATTGGTCGTAGAGTGAGATTGACTCAGGTGCACTGTGTAATGTGACGCTGCTCTAACAGTGGGGTCAGCTGCAGACGGAGTCCACTGCTGTGGATAAGACTTTCAGCAAACAGGAACAAAGAAGGAACACAGCACAAACTACATGGGTTATTCTAGGCCAGGAGAGGATAACATTGTGTGAAAGGCGACACATTCCTGATACTGGGATTGAAGAAGATGACAAAGTCTGGGATCGCGTCTTACATTCAGACAGAAGACATGTTTTATTGTCGATGGTAGAGACAGCGAACAAAGCACACGAACACAGATACAATAGAATGCAAGTGTATTATACAGAGCAGAGGCATGGAGACCTCCAATCAGCAGCTTCCACGGTGCCATGTAGCTTGGCCTTCAGATAGACAAAACAAGGGAAAAGTACTGGCTTCTGCACATTGATAGAATGATGAGTTTAACTTTAACAAAAGTTGCTTCAAAGTGTTATGAAATCTCACAGGATAAAACATAAGCTATAATGGTACAAGTCTGTCGATAAGCCGAGGCAATGAAGTACGTCTCTGACATCAGTGCCATTAAGGTTCAGATTATTGCCGCAACAGAACCTGTAAAAAGGACTTGAGGCTGTCATAATGAAAGATTATAAAGGCACTCATTTGTTTTACTTATATTACTTATATTATTATAATGTGTCTTGTTTTATAAAGCATATTTGTAAACTAAGGGGTATATTTATCAATCCAGGTTAGGGGTGGGAATTGGCAGAAATTTGATGATTCGATAATATTGGGCCACAATTCCATATTATTGTGATTCAGCAAGTATTGCTCTATCCTTTGTGTCAATTGCGTAAAAAATTGAGGAAAATAAAGACTGCTCACCTGTCAATTCATTATTGTCTATAGATTAACTGAAGTGCAAACACATTATTCCAATAGAGAGAGTAAAAAAGCCCCCTCATTGCCCTGATAATTATTTAATTAAAAGCAAGCTTTATGCCGCTGAAAGATGTCTGTTGTCCATTTTCCTTCCCCCCCTTTTCCCCCCCTTGTGTCCATGGGAAAGACACCTATCCCCCTCATTGCCCGAAGACCCCGCTTGATGACCAAGGCCTTCTCGTTATGTCGGAGAAGCCATCCTCCTGAATGGATCATATTTATTCACATGTTTCAATGTCTCCCATTTCTCACTTGTGTTTTTGGGGTTGACAAATGTATTTAAAAAATAAATAGATTTTAATCAAATGAAAATAGAATACAAGTTTTCCAGTGTCATACAGAAAGTATCAACATGAAGATAAAAAAAAAAACATCACCAACAGGACAGAATGCGAGATTCTCTGGGCATTTTTTTGAATCATTTTGATTTCAGAACTAATAAAAACGTATGTTTAATGTCGTATTTATGTTAAAAATTGCAGCTCCCTGTATCAAAATTGGTATCATGTCTATTTCTTAGTATCGAAATTGGTTTGTAATTTTATTATTGTGACAACACAGGTACAGGGTAGTTTCCCAGACCAGAGCAGGTGTCAAGGTTGCAGACAGAAGAGCAATATCACGAAGACTCAGACACTATTCCATCTGTCTCATGTGGACAAGATGTGGACGAGAAGGATCCACTAAACCTAAGACGTTTACACATTTTTTATGAAGA